TTGACCACCCTGATAGAAGAGGACTGTTTCCTCAGTCATGGATGTATGAGTACCTGTGCTCCCCTGCTAGGACCTCTCACAAGCTTTCAAAGACACTTGTCATACTGTACATACCTCACATGCTAAAATCAGTGGACAAAAGCTTAACAAGAAATAGGAAATTGCTCAAAATATTCCCCTTTGTATTCTGGGGGATATGTTCCAAGATGACCAGTGAATGCCTGAAACTGCTTGCTGTAGCATTCATAAATCATTCATCCATGTAGATTTACAAGAAGCTGGTGGAGTGGTGAACAGCTGAGAAACAGCCTCTACCAAGGCAGATAATGCCAAACAATCACTCCTCATGTCCACAGGGTCCCAGGGACCACCACAGACACTGAAATCTGCAGATGTTCAGTTCTTTATATTCAATATTTGGGTGTAAACTATACACATCATCTTGTATACTTTAAATTACCTCTAGATTACTTATAATGCTTAATATGATATACTGCTATGCTAAGAGTTATACTATATTGTTTAGGGAATACGCAGCTAAATAGAGAATAATAATAAGAAAAGCCTTGTGTGTCCAGTGTAGATAGTTTATTTTTTCAAATATTTCCAGGGCCAGCCAAATAGCTCAGCAGACTAAAGCACCTGTAAGCAGGCACAGGGGCCGAGGGTTAAACCCCTGGGCCTGCCATGCTGGTCCCGCCTGCTGGGGCGCACTGAGATGGCAATTGAGACTGTGCATTATGGCGCGCACCAGTAATCCCAGCACTTGGAAAGCTATAAACAGGCAGATCACTACAAGTCTGATCTAGTAGTGAGACCCTGAACACCCTATAGACCCTTCCCTAAAACACAAAAACAAACAAACAGAAAAAAAACCCAAATATTTCCAGTCAGCAGGTAGTTGAATCCACAGATGCAGAAAACATGGATATGGAACTCTCTGGGCATAGAGGGACATCTGTGTCACAGTTTTTCAGTGCACACACACATTAGAAAACATGATAAAGTTTTTTACAAATTAGGTCAGTAAGAGATTAACAATAACTACTAATAAAACAACTATAACCATACACTGTAATAAATGTTATTTATAAGTTGCTTATTTCTAGAATTTTCCATTTAGTATTTTCAGACAATTACTGCTGCAGGTAACTGAAACCACAGATAACAAGATATTCAATAAACTTTATAAACAAGAAAAAGAATTAGTAGGTCTCCCATGGATTGGAAAAGAAGCCTGACAGATACCACCTTAGTCATGTAATCAAAATGATCACTACCCATGGGACAGACCAAGACCAGGTGCCCACTTGTGACATTCACTAGGAAGGACTTGATATTACTACCAGAAAGGACTTGATATTACTAGAGACAGCTAAATTAGGTAGAAATATAGTAAGCAGCCAGAAAGGACTGGGACCTTGAAGGAGTCAGTACAAAAGATGAAAAGCCATGGGGCTGGGGAGATGGCTCAGGAGAATAAGGGCTTGCCTGGCAAGCACAAGGGCCTGAATTCAACCCCCAGTCCCACAAAAAAAAAAAAGAAAAAGAAAAAGAAAAAAGAAAGAAAAGCCATCAGGACTGTGGCTGGAGGTATACTTGAAGATTAAAGTCACAATGGCTTTTTGGACTTATGTGTAAACATAAGAATTATATAATTTGTTATGCCTATTTTTAAAATATATTCTAATTTTTAAAAAATAAATAAATAAATAAGGTCACAATGGCTAGTTTTACAAACTTCCTTAAGGGATGAATGGAGGCTATCACATCACTTTTGTTTTAAAATGAGTTTTGGAGGTGGCACATTCAAGATGTAGTAGACACTAATGAGACAACTGGAGAAATTTGTCCAACTACATATTAGAAGAGTGTTGAATGAACGCTCAATGTCTTGGGTCTGGTAATGGTGATAGTTCATTGGGGTGTCAACTTGAATGGATTAAAGATGCCCAGTAGATTAGTGGGGCACGGTTCTAGATGTATCTGGATGACTGATTGTTTCCCACACTGATCTAATTTTTTATTGGCCCTGTTAGGTCTTTTGGTGGCACAGCAGAGAAGCACAAGAGAAAAAAAAGGGTAGGAAAAGGCTCTGTTGCCACTGAGCAGGAGATGGAGAGGATGGATGGCAGGGAGAAGAGGGGAATCCTCTGACCTGAGACAGGGATGCTGAGCATTTATGGACTTTGCTAGGGGCGGAATTTGAGGGGCAGATTCGGTGACACACAAGGAGCTGATTGGGGGCTCCCTTGTGTTCAGGGGAAAGGTAAAAGGAAGTGGTAGCCTGGGCTGGAGTGGGGAAGAAGGAGGAAGCGGTCACTGGGAAGATAAGCTTTTGTTTTGGGGATTCAACCATGTTGAATCAAGGCCATGATAATTTAGAAGCTGGAACTTGGGCTGGAACTTGGGCCCAAACCTATCAGGTACATTTCAGATATGCATAACAATAACATTCATTATAGGGACTCTATACCTATACATATTATATTGGGCTTCAATTCTCATTTGAGACCCTTTTTGGCCCCAGGGACCCACTTTCCTCCTCTTCTTCACATTACACTATTCCAAGGTGCAGAAACCAAATTTCAGAGAGATCCTTTCTCTGCTGCTCACCACTCCACCAGCTTCTCATAAGTCTACCTGGATGATTGATTTATGAATGCTACAGCAAGCAGAAACACCAAAACAACACCCAGAATTTGGAGACAGTGCACAGCTTTATTTTATACTAGTGGTCATGATCCAGTTCACTTGCAACAACAAAGAAAACCAGCCTCCATCCTTAGGTGGTCTGGGGCTTTTATAGGCTTTTCTAGGCAGGAGGTACAGAATCAGAACTGTAGGTTTTTGATAGGGGAAAGCAAGTCCTGAGACTCTGGAGAAGTGGCGAGTCAAACAGGAAATGGAAACATAGTGCCCAAGGTGTCAGAGTGGATGAAGAACCAGGAAATGAACTGAGGGCTTCCTTGAACAACAAGTTAAGAGGTCATATTGTATGGGGCAGATTGGAAAGCTAAAAATAGAATAAAAAGGGCTTTTGTGCTCTATGAAGGGAGAAGGCCCACCTTGGATGTGGATGGAAAAAGGTTGTAGTCTGGATGGAATAAAACAGGGAAGAATAAGAAGTCTACTCTTCTGCTTGTTCAGGGAACCATCTTGGCCATCACTTTTGGAGGCTGGGTCAGCCTTCAAGTACAGATTCTTCAGACTTCCAGAGTAGACCTTTGCACTTCCCAATACAGACTCGCAAGACTATGCAGTGAGCTCCAGGCCTTCGACTTTGAACTGGATATAATGTTATGCTACCTACAACTTATTTTCAAATGATTTCACAAAAAATGTTTTGCTTTTTTTGAGACAAAATCTGGCTATGTAGTTCAGGCTGACCTTGATCCCACTGGGTAGCCCAGGCTGGTCTTGAACTTGTGGCAATCCTTCTGCCTCAACTTCCCATCTGCAGTGATTCCAGAGGTGAGTCACCACATCCAGTATTTTAAAATTATATATAAGGTAGGTAAATACATATGTGTATTTATGTGTTAAAAGTGATTGAGTCTAGTGAAAGATTTACACTATTCAACTTTTTACCCTTAATACTATGGGCTTGTACCCAGGGTTTGCACATTCTAACTGTACTTTCTTTTTCACACGATCTTGCTAATTCAATAAGTTTCCCAGGCTGGGTTCTAACTCTCAATTCTCCTGCCTCAGCCTCCCAATATACCACCACACGCAGCTTCTACTTTTCAGCTTTTCTGTGGGTTTAAAATTGATTGGGTTTTTTTTTTTTAACATTTATTTAGTGTGTGTGTGTGTGTGTGTGTGTGTGTGTGTGGCCAGCTCAGCCCACCAGGGGGCGCAGCTGGCTGGCATGTGGTGCTGGGGGATTGAACCGCGGTCCCTGTGCTTTTCCAAGCTTGTTCCAAGTAGGTGCTTTAGACCACTGAGCCATCTCTCCAGCCCTTTTTTTTTTTGTTTTTTGTTTTGTTTTGTTTTGTTTTGTTTTTCTGAGGCTGGGCCTGCTATGTAGTTCAGGCTGGCCTTGAATTTGCTATGTAGCTCAGGCTGGTCTCAAACTCAGGACAATCCTCCTGCCTCAGTCTCCCAACTGCTGGAATCACAAGCATGTGCCACTAAAGCCAATGAGTTTGAAATTTTCAAAATGAGAATTTGGAAAGTATTTAACAGCTGTAGAAATATATACTAAATTTTAAAATTATACATCATTTGGATGTATATATAATTCTGCTTACAACCTTCCTTAACTTCCCACTACTCCTAGGAGGCTGGAGCCTACCGCATTTGGCACCTACCTCCTCTACCCTTTGGCTCACCATCATGTTTGCCCCCAGGCACTGTATATAACTATACCCAAACTACTCAAGAGGGATCCAGTCACCTAGAGTCCCCGCCCCCCCCCCGACCTTTACACATGCGGCTACCCCAGCCTGACTAACGGGACTAGGAAATGAGTTTTCACATCCTCTGTCCTGGACAGCTCTCCTAAATCTGCTCTTACAAATTCTCTCAGGCCCTCAAGTCTGAGTGACATATGTCCTTAGCAAACTCCTCAGTCTCTTCATAGCATTTAGCACACCGTATTGTGATGGTCAGTCATTTATCTCCTCCAGAGTTTGGTAAACTGAGTGGAGGCATTTTTATTCCAATCCCACCCCCTCCAACATTGGTCTGCTGCACAATTATGTATGTATTCAGTAAATGAAGTTGACTTCTGTTTTCTTATACCTAAAATGGGAGACAGCGTGGATGAGCTACTGACAGTAAGATTGATTAAATAATTCCCAACCCTAATTGTGCAGGAAATCCCTTTTCTGTTTCACTAGTGTGGTTCACAACCTCTTATCTGTTGGACGAACTGGAGACTACAGTACCCATCAACCCTCGGGGTATCGCGTGACGCTTTGGTTTCGTTCCCTCTCGGGTTGTGAGGACTACATTTCCCAGCGCGCCTCCGAACTTCCGCAGTGCAGGCTCCCTACTGGCGGGGTGGTAACCCAGGTCAAACGACAGGTAAAAAGGGCCCTCTTTGGGGCTTCTTACGGTCCAATTCACCAAAAGGAGGGAGTTGCGTATGCCCTATTTTTGCAGTTTCCGACCATTCCCCCCAAATCTCTGTAGTAACCAGGGGGCCTCTGGGCCCGGCCTCTAATCGCCCTCACCCCTCCGCTGCCTGAAGCCAGAAACCACAGGTCGCCCGAGCGGAGGCAGCGTCGCGGCTCCGGGTCTGGAGCCGAGGCAGGTAGCCGTGGGGAAGGGGCTGGCTGTGGAGGCCGCGGGTGTGCAGGCGGAGGCCCTCAGCCCTCGGGTCCTTGTCTCTGCAGTAACGGATGCTGAGTGGGCAGCTGCTCCGACGCCTGGGCTCCATGGCCACCCGCGTGTGTTTGTCCCCGGGTAGCGCAGGGCCCGGGCCCGTCGGCCCGGTGGAGGCCGCCATCCGCGCGAAGTTGGAGCAAGCCCTGAGCCCGGAGGTGCTGGAGCTGCGCAACGAGAGCGGCGGCCACGCCGTCCCGCGCGGCAGCGAGACGCACTTCCGCGTGGCGGTGGTGAGCTCGCGTTTCGAGGGAATGAGCCTCCTGCAGCGGCACCGGCTGATCCACGAGACGCTGTCGGAGGAGCTGGCCGGGCCGGTTCACGCGCTGGCCATCCAGGCTCGGACCCCTGCCCAGTGGAGGGAGAACCCTCAGCTGGACACGAGCCCCCCCTGCCTTGGTGGGAGCAAGAAAACTAGAGGAACCCCTTGACCTCTAAGAGTTGAGGAGGACCCGAATATGAAGGGGCTGGGTGAGAATAAAGTATTAAACTACTACTCAAGGGGATTCTAAGGACAAGGTCTCCTTGGGACCCGTTCTGCAGGCGCGTGCGTGTTCTCCAGGGAGCACTCATGGCGGGTCAAAGCGAGCCCGAAGGAAGAGAAGGCCCACACTAGTGCTCTGCCTGGACCCTCAGGAAGGGGATGCCTAGTGTTGCGTGTGAAAGTGGTGACTGAGGAACTGCTCCGGTCGTGAATTGGAAATAGTCCCAACATTAAAAGAGAAATTATTATGTGAGGCATATTGCTGTGTTGTTAATACTTGTGGAGTTGGTTCTGCAGGTGTTTCTAGAGAGAGGAAAAATTCTGTGCACCTGGGTGGCCAGAAAGGGATCCTTGGGAGAAGTGAACTACTGTATGGGGTCTCTAAAGTGGCTTTAAACCAGAGACAAAACGTTTGCTGCAAGGGAAGTTTCCTGAGCAAAGAGAGACTAGACTGGACAGTGGATTATTGGACAGAGGGGTGAGGGGTACATTTAAATTTCATCTTGGGGGTAATGCTTCTCTTGGCAACCTATTTCCATAAGGTTCGTTTATTTTAAGAAAAAAACTTTTTTTTTTTTAAACCACAAAGCATTGAAAAGAGGTTAAGAGCCCTTTATGTAGCCCTCTGCTTATGAGGCTTCCAAACATTACATCCTTTTTTTTTTTTTTTTTTTTTTTTTCCAGTCCTGGGATTTGAACTGAGTTTCTGCACTGAGCTACATCGCCAGCCCTTTTTATTTTGAGACAGGGCCTAGCTAAATTGCTCACCTTCCCAGGCTGGGCTCCCATTTGCGCCCCTCTTGTGTCAGCCTCTGAGTGCTGGCGTTACTGTATAGGCGCGTGCCACCATGCCCAGCTTAACCTTTTGAGAGGAGCTCAAGTAGTATCTATATAAATAACTTTATTTTTATTATTATTATTTTTTGTTTTAGGGAAGGATCTCACTGCTAGATCGGACTCATAGTGATCCGCCTGTTTACAGCCTCCCAAGAGCTGGGATTACAGGCGTGCACCACCAATGCCATATCCCCATCACTGTCTCAGTGTGCCCCAGGGGCGGGGCCCACAGGGCAGGCCCCGGCCCCTGCACCTGCTTGCAGGTGCTTTAATCTGCTGAGCTAATTTGGCCGTAAATAACTTTCTTGATGTGGAAATTACTAGAAAGAAGGCTGCTTAGCCTGTCTTGACCATTTCTGGCTGAAGATTTTAGACTGTTAGCTTGGGCATTTGGAAGTCATTGGAGAATTTTGGGAGAAGGCATGTTGGGACAGACAGACCAGCAGGGATGTGTGAGGGGTGTGGCATAGGAGAATAGAGGCCCGGATGAACTAAAAGTAAAGGTAGAGCCCTGTGGGAGTGGAGAGAAAGGAGTTAATCTGAAAATTCCTGTTAGAAAATAACTTGATTGCAGCCAAAGAAAGCTCATTTAAAATTAGGTTTGAGGGCAGGGGAGATGGCTCAGTGGAATAAGCGCTTCCCTGGCAAGTGCAAGGGTTTGAGTTCAATTTCTGTTTCCGCCAAAAAAAAAAAAAAAAAATGGATTTGAAAAAAAAGATTTTAAATAAAAAAGTAAAAAATAAATAAAACATGGATTTGAGGTCCCCTACACCCTAAAAAAGGATTTGATTCCATAAGTCAAGAGTAGAATCTGGGCCAGGTAGATGGCTCAGTGGAATAAGCGCTTCCCTGGCAAGTGCAAGGGACTGAGTTAATCCCCGGTTCAAAAAAAAAAGTAGAATCTGGCATCTACTTGACACTCCAGAAGATTCTGGCAAATGTTGGTTAATTTTTGTTATGTTTTTAGACAGTCTCATTATGATTTTTAGGTTAATCTTGAACTCATGTTGACCAGGCTGGCCTCAGATCTGGAGGAATCTACCTGCTTCAGCTTCCCACGTGCTGGAATTACAGGCGTGTGCCACCACACCCAGCTAGTTGTCTTTAAGAAACATTACAGTGTTTTTAAAGCGGGGAGGTTTAGAGGCCTCTCCACTTGTGAAAGTGAAAATGTCAGGGTTTAAAAAGTCCGATTTAAGAAGTAAATGTAATCCATCGTGTTATTCTGGCTTCCAGATTGAACAGGGAGCTGATTTTTACCACTGTTGAACCTCTCATTGTTGTCAGAATAGACTTAGACATAGAAAGGGAAGCAAAGAAACAGCCATTTTGGATTTTAAGGATTTGTTTCCTTTTATTTTCATCAGTATTTTTCATTTCATTTTTCACATCAAGAGTCAGGTTTAGGGTTCCCTGGGAGAGCAAGGAGATGGATGGATGGGTCTCCCTGGGATTCAGGGAAGAGGCTGCGTCCAGCAGGCAAAGGGAGTGGAGCGCGCACACTCGTACACTGGGCACTGAGGAGAAGGCAGTCCTTTAGCACAGACACCAGAGTTAAACAGTCACCACCTGGTTCAGTTACAAAACGGGAGCAACCACAGGTTGGGGGCACCAGACGCAGCATGAAGGTGAATTTGGATTTTCTTTGTTGTTATTTTCACTTTGTTCCTTTTAACTTTTTAAAACATTTTACAAACAGCTAAAAACTACAACACATCACAGCTACAGTGGGGGTGGGAGAAGGGTACCAACAAAAGCAGCCACACAGAGTGGGATGGGACAGGGGCAGCTTCACCTACAGGGGCTGTTGTGTGGAAGGGTGAGGGGGGGAAACTGAGGTTTCTGGTCCCTGCATTAGGGGTCTCTCACTGCCCAACCTCTCCCCACTTTTAGAGGAGTTGCCAGGAGGGCCCCTGCTTCCTGCCTCACCCCAGCTCCTTGTGCTTTTGATTTGCTGGTCTGTGACCCTGGGTTCCCTCCCTCTCCTGCTCCCCAGCCTGTGACAGACTTTGGGGCCTCTGGAAGCAAGTGTGTGCTTCCAGCCTGCTCTAGTGGGTGGAGCCTCTTTCTCTAGAGGAGGCCTTGGCTTCACAGGAAGGACAGATAGGCCTTGCTAGGTGCCCCTCAGGCCCCCTACAACACAGGCTTCTTATTCCAGCCTGACCTAGGGCTCCTCTCTCCCAGGCCCAACGGTTACAGTGAGGTACTATGGGAGGCAGGGTTGTGTGTGTCCACTGAAATTCCCTTGGCTTATATTTGAGGAGAGTATAGTAAAACCACCACCTCGTGGCGCACACACGCACACACATATACATAAATGGACACATTCACACAGTCCTGCTAAGCTGCCTCAGAACTTAAATAAATAATAAATAATCAGAAATCTAACGTTATAAAATTCAGGCTTCATAGTTGTAGCCCAAATTGAGGGGAAAGGAGACCAGAGGGCTGAGGTTTATTGCTGCTTCCCCAGCATCCAATGGGAGGTGTGAGAGGGCATGGAGCCCTGCCACCTGTAAGTTCTTTTGGTCCATGAGTATACCCAGGTCCCAGCCCCCAACAGAACTGCAACCCATGGTTTCACCAGGGCCTAAGCAGAGGGAAGGAGGGGAAGACAATAAGCCTATTCTGGAACCTCTGAAGCAGGCAAACAGGGCCCCCTCACTAACACTGGGAGGGAACAGGGTGGGCTCGGCGTTCTCTTGTGCGAAGTCAGGGGCAGTAGGAGGTGGAGAGTAGTGCTTCACCTCAAAACTGTGATGGAAGAGCCTTCCCTATAGGCCCTGCCCATGGGGTCACACATGCACACACACACGCACACACGGCTAAGACACCAAAGGAGTAGGGAGTGAGGGCTCTAGGGGCCGGGGTGGCAGGGCAGGGAGGGGAGAGAAGGAGCGTTGGTCTCACAGTGAGCCTGCCATCCCCAAAACCCCCGGAGAGCCCCTCACTGCAGCACCTGCCCCCGGGTCTCAGGCAGCTTCAGGGCCAGAGAACTGCCAAGGGCAAGGGCAGCTGAGGCAAAGAGAATGGGGGCGGCCTTGGTGATCCCCACAAAGGATGTGAAGATGCTGATCCCCAGCACAGCAGCCAGCTTGCACAGGGCATTCAGGAAGCCAAAGGCAGTGGTCCTGCTCATGTGCAGGGCAGAGCACAGGAGGGAGACAGACAGCAGGGAGGGGAGGGATGGATATGGAGTACAGACAAAATGGGAGACAGGTAGGAAAGGAAACCAAAAAAGGAGGTTAATATTTAAAACTGCAAGTATGTGATTACAAAAACTCAGCTTTTAGAGGAAAAATACATGTGTCCTCCCAAAGATGCTCTCCTTTGGCCTCCCCCTCCCTGCACTCTCCTGCCCTCTAAGCCCTAAGCTTGCTGCTACGCCCCCACTGCTCTCCACCCACCTCTTGTCTGAAGGGTAGAGTTCAACAGTCAGCACATCCAGCGCGTTCCAGGAGGCGATGCTGACCCCACCAAAAAGGCAGAGCAGTGCAATCATGGCCGACTCGCTGTTCCCAAAAGATAGGAAGAAGCAGGAGACACAGGACATCACGCTGGAGCCAGCTGGAGCCGAGAAAGGCAAGAGCATGAGGCTGGTGACGGCGACTCAGGACCCAGCTGGTCACATCCGCTAGCTCTGGGACAACCTCACATGAGACTTTCCCCAAGCTAGCCAAAAGAAAGGCTTTTCACTCATTCTCAACTTCCTTGTAACTGTTTATTAATAAAGTCAGTAACAGCCATGTATTCAGTGCCAGCTGTGGGCCAAACAAATATATATCAATCTATCAACCCTATAGGGCTGGTCCATGGCATCCACTTTCCAGGTGATAGGGCTGAGAACAGCTCACTTAGTCACAGCGAGTAGTGGATGTGAGGCACAAACCACAACCTCAAAACCTGTGCCTTGAGTGCTCGCTGTTCTGCCCAGCTCCTTCACCCTCCAAAAGAAGCTTTTTTTTTTTTTTTTGGCAGAACCGGGGATTGAACTCATATCCTTGCATTTACCAGTCAAGCGCTTATCCTACTGAGCCATCTCCCCAGCCCCCAAAAGAAGCTTTTGCACCTTGGCCATACTGTCCTGCAGCACCCCCAAGCAAATCATGAGAAAGAAGCTTTCAGACCAGTATCTTCCACAGCCCAAGGGGAGAAGCCTGCTGACAGCACCCAGCCTGCCCACTTACCAAGCATCCTGAGCCTGCCAATCTTGTCCATGAGCAGTGCAGACACAATATTCCCCGGAAGCACAGCCAGTGTCCCCAGGAAGCTGACGAAGTACACCATGTAAGCGCCCTCTCCCGTGCCCGTCACATCAAGCTGGCAGCCCTCCTTGTTGTGCAAGAACGTGCTGTTCACCAGACGGCTGTTCACAAACTTGTACTCAAACAGGTCTGAGGAGAAAGCCAAGACACAGACAGAGAAGGTGGGAAAGAGCCCTCTGCTTGGGGGGGTTCTTAGAATTATTTCAGATGCTCATTACAAAGCATCAAAGAATATCCCCATGGGAGCTAGGAATCCTACAGACAAAATGACTATAAACTAGTAAACCTTGATTGTTTCCAAGGATTCCTATTATGTCTTTACTTCATGTTCATTTGTGTGGGGGGCGGGGAGTAACCAGGAATTGAACTCAGGACCTCCCACTTGCCAGGCAGGCACTGTGCCACTGAACTCAATCTCCCACCCTTTGCATTCATTCTGTTTGTCCACCTAAGCTGACAATAGCCATACAAAGCATGGGTCTAAAACACTTTTCCAAGAAAACTATTAAAAGTATGAAGTCCTAGAGCCGGCCAAATAGTTCAGCGGATTAAAGCACCTACAAGCAAGCATAGAGGCCAGGGTTCAACCCCTGGCCTGCCATGCCAGCCCTGCCCCCAGGGCATGCTGAGAGGGCAATTGAGACTGAGCATGGTGGCACATGTGCCTATAATCCCAGCTCTTGGGAGGCTGTAAACAGGCAGATCACTACGAGTCCTATCTAGTAGTGAAACCCTGAACACCCTGTAGACCCTGCCCTAAAAAATAAAAAAAATAAAAAAGTATGAAGTCCTATCCACTATTCTTTTACCTGCAAGATGAAAAAAGCTTATTTGGTCCTCCATTTAAAGGTGAGAAACCTCAGTCTAGCTCACAAAATCAGCATTTCATATGCATGTACTCTGAGAAACATTGTTTGTTTGTTTTAATGTATTTGGTTGTTACAGGGTCTCACTATGCAGCTCAGAGTCACTCGTGGACTGGGGTTACAGGTGTGCCACCATGCCCAGACTCTGGCTGGCTCAGAGTGGTGCCAGGGATCGAACTCCAGTCCCTACGTTTGCCTAAGCTTACCTAAGCAGGTGCTTTAGTCCACTGAGCTATCTCACCAGTGTGAGAAACACTGTTAAAGAAGTAGATTACTACAATGATTCCCAACTTTTCCCCATCAAATATGCCTTTTATAGTTTTTCTTTTTCCCATAGGGCCTTGACTTATTTTTCCCTCTTCAAATGCACATTAATATTACTGCCCTGAGTTACTACCATTCCAGCCAAAGGCAAAGAAACTTGATGCTTTCGTCAGACAATCTGTCACCAAAAAATGTCCAATATCCACTGCATTTTCCAGATTATATCAGTGGCTGTCCTTAAGTTCCCATCCCACCTTCTCCCAGGGTTTCAAGGGCTCTCAGCTTGGAAGGCATAGGCCAGGAAATAGGGAATGGCCCCTTCTCCCTCAAGATCCCCCCAGCTCTTTGGGCTGAAGGCCCCTCCCCACCTTACCAGTGTTATAGAACACAGTGTTGACGAACGTGCAGTTGCGGAAGAATGTGTTGCTGGATGTGACGTCCTCGAAGTAGCACTCCTCAAAGAGGGAGTCTTCAAAGGACACCGACTTCAGACGCAACCCAATGAACCTGAAAGGGCAAGGTGATGAGACGCTGCCCGCTCATCTTCATCCCCTCTCCACGTCCTGCTCCTTCTGTAGAGTAATGGGCAGCTTGGCATAGAGGAGAAACCATACAAGCTGCCCCAAACCACCTTGCCTTGACCTCTCAGACTCATGAGACAGAGAGAAGTGAAGTTTAACAGCGTCCACATACTTGTCATTGAAGTACTGCCCGCCTCGGTGGATCTGATTTTCCAGTGTGAAGTTGAAAGTCACGTGCTCTACGCGCTCCCCAGGAAACACTTTGGTGCGGGCGGCATAGTCCACAGCCTGCAGATGGCGGATCATGTCGGGAAACCAGACGGTCAGGCCGTAGTAGCTGGAGAATCGAGCAAGTGGACTCAGACAGGGCAGATTCAACATTAGAGCCTAACAGTCCCTAGTGAGACAGAAGCCCGCCTGCATCAGGGCATTCCTCATCCCTTATCTTGCACTCTTTCCTTCCCAAGTACTGTGGTTCTGGGGACTTTGGAGGCATCTCTGCCCTCTGCTATACTCTCCTTTTCAGGTTTTTTTCTTTTTTCTCTCTCTTTTTTTTTTGGACACCGGGTCTCGCTATTAAATTCAGGGTGATGTTGAACTCACTATGTAGCCCAGGCTGGCCTTGAACCCATAACAATCCTCCTGCCTCAGCCTCTCCAGTACCACTACCACTCTTTCTTGTCTCCCAAGCATCTGTTCTTCCCTCTGCTTACAACTTTCCACACCCTCACTGCACAGACTTTACCTCCAATTCATCCTTCAGAATTTGGGTCCCCAACCCCAAGTCCCAAGTGCTCCACAGCACTTTGTCCTCCCACCATGGCACCATCACCCTCTTGATAGCTGCATTTTGACTGAGTCACACATACTTCATCTCAGCACAGTACCCATGCAGAACAGAGACTTAGGCTTGGTCAGACACAAGACTGTGTGAAGCACCTGCCTGGCAAGCGCAAGACCCTGAGTTCAATCCCCCAGTACCTCAAAAAAAAAAAAAAAAAAGAAGACAGACAAAACTGTGTGCTGAGTGAATGAATGGATGGAGCAACAGGGGGCATCTTTCCCCTCTATTCTAACTTCCTACATCTCTCCCCCAGCCCACCCACCAGAACCACCACACAGTACCATCCTACTCACACCCTCACCTGAAGGACATGGTGAACCATACGCCCATCATCATGAGAGTGATGCGTCGATATTCTGGACCGAAGCAGGAGAGAAAGTTCCCCCAGACCTACAAGAGACCAAGCCAAGGCAGAAGTGGCTGTGCCCCTGACTTTCAATGCATACAGGGCCCCATTTTCCTAGCCCACCCCCATCAGTCCACCTTCCCTCTCACCCAGGCTCAAGCCCTGCCTTCCTTGCCACCTCTCCCTTTCCCCTCTCTGCCTTCACATGCCTTCCCGTTTTACCTGTCCCCCCAGGCTCAAAGCCCGGACCCCCCAGCGCTGGTACCAGGTCCCTGTGTCTGACTGGATCTCGATCAGTTCGTCCTCCTGATGAATTGTCTTAATGTGAGTCACCTGAGGTGAACAGAAGGCATGAGCAGTCACACACGTTGTATTTCCCAAGCCTCAGCTGGGCCTGTCTCAGTTTCCCTACAGTAGCAATATCACTGAGGTAGAGTGTGGTCTGAGCTATCTGGAAAGGTAGGTGGAGGAAGCTCCAGAATTGGGCCGAGTGGGGGCCGGGGCTGCAAAGCTGGGCAGTCTGGGCGGGAAGGCTGGTGTCTTACTGAGAATACTCGTTCTGGATGTCCCTTGGCTCGCATGTTGGTGTCATGCACCTGCTTCAGCACCATCCAGGCTTCGTCATGCTTCCCGTTCTAGAGCCACAGACACAATCCCAGGTCGCAGTCAGCCTTTCCTGACCCAAGGCCACAGAGCTCCTCCCTCCAACCTAGCTCACAGAGTCCCAGGTCACAAAAAGGCCCAAACCCACCAACAACCTCTGGCCTGTGGCTGTATATCATCCCAACAAGATATAACCAGAGCTGGCCAAGATCTGGGGACAGGGGACTGCCCTGGACATACAAATATGGGCCCTAGGGATTCCCTAATACAATAGAAAGAGAAAACAGAGGACAAGAGAAATGATGGGCAAGCGGGCAGTCAGAGGGGAGCAGCATCCTGACCCTGTTGAAACAGGTGTAGCTGGAGGGGAGGGAGAAGAGGTGGGAGTTCTTTTGAGCTATAGTCAGGGCCAGAGCCAAGACCCATGCCTGCAAATCCTAAGCCGACCATAGTTGAAGACATTCCTGATGTTTGTGCCCACAGATGCCCTCTGGAGATGCATTCTGGGACAGAGAAGCCAGATCATGACCCCAGAGTACAGCCCTTGAGGAAGGAAGACAGCCAGACAGGATCACACCGACCCACGGCGAGCATCTACACACAGAGCCCTGCTGCCCTCCGGCTCCCACCCTGCCCGCACAGCCCCATTCACCTCCAGGAAGAAGCGGGGACTCTCAGGCTGCGTCGTCAGAGCCCCAATGGCAAACACAGAGGGAAAGGCGCAAACGAGGACAAAGACCCTCCAGCTATGGAACTGGTAAGCAGAGCCCATCTGAAAACTCCAGCCTGGCAGAGACAGAGTCATAGCATCAGCAGAGAAGCCAGCGGCGGGGCTCCTAGCACAGGAGCCCAGGAGAAGCGGGAGGAGGGCCAGGCTCGGGTGTGCCACCACCCGGGAGGCTCACCATAGTGGGGAATGATGGCCCAGGCCATAGCAGCTGCGTACACTCCACCGATCATCCAGAACATGCAGAGCCAGCTCAAGTGCTCCCCACGCTTCTCCTGAGCCAGAAACTCCGAGAAATAGGAGAAGACGATGGGGATGGACCCCCCAATCCTGGAGGGCAGTAAGAATTCAGCATGAGAAAATGTGTGTCTTTCTGGCCCTCTGTCCCAGCGCTCTGGACTCCCAAGTTCCTTGCATCTTCCAGAGATTTTGTTTTTGGGTTTGTTTTCTTTTGAAGTACTGGGGATTAAACCCAGGACTTGTGCACTGAGTTATAGCCTCAGCCCTTCTTATTTGTGACCAGGTCCTACTAAGTTGCTCAGCCTGGGCTCGAACTTGTGATCATCCTCCTGCCTCAGCCTTCCAAAGCCCTGGAAGGGGCCATCATGCCTGGCCCCTTCCATCCTTCCACAGATTTCATTCTTGTTTGTTTTTTTAAGACAAGGTCTCACTGGCCTTGAGTCGGCTGGCCTTAAACTCACTACACAACCCAGGCTGGCCTCAAACTCGTGATCCTCCTGCCTCAGCCTCCTGAGTGCTGGGATTGCAGACATGCGCCACCACAGCTGGTCACTTTGCAGCTTTCAGTGACCCCCTCTCATGCATAATGCCCTACAAGCTTCTTTCACTGCCAGCAATCAAGCACTCATCCAGGGGTTAGTGGTAAGCAGGTAGATGGGTCTCAGAGGAAGGAGAGGAACAAACATTAAATCTTGAAGGTGACGAGTCACAAGTGAAAATGGTAACTGCAGAAAAGGGATCATCTCTAGACAACAAAGATGAGCAATGAGCAGCATGAGGGCACAGGCTGGAAAAGAAGAGTTAGGGCCTGCGGGAGTGGGGCAAATGGAGGTTTGAAGAGGGAAGCTTAGGTGGTCACTATGTGAGTGTCATCAAATGCGGGGAACCTGTGGCCTGGAGGCGGTAACTCTAGGGCTTGCAGGAACCCAGGCGGGCTGAGGCAGAGACCCAGCAGGTCCCCTTACAGAGACAGGCTCAGGAACAGGACTAAAGTGGAGTGGAGGCTCAGGACAGCAGCATTCAGGCCCAGGGCAAGGGAAGCCTAGAGACAGTGGGGGAAGAAAGGAATTCATTCATTCGTTCAACTCATACATATTTCAACTAGTATTATGCTGGACCCTCAAGAATAACAGTGACCAAGGAATAGGCCTGGCTTCAAAGGGCTCAAGCAGTGGATACTCACCCAACCCCAGAAAGGAGGCGACAGAAGAGGAAAGTGCCATAACCCTGGACGAAGGACGAGAAGAAGGCGAAGACGCTGTTGACTGAGAGCGAGATGAGCAGACATTGTCTTCGACCCAGCCGATCAGCCAGACCCCCCCAGAGGAAGGCTCCCACCATCATGCCCAGGTAGACAATGAGGCCTGGAAGGAAGAGGACAGGCAGGAGGGCTGTGAGCAGCACACCTCAGTGCTCCCACCAGCTAAGCGTCTCCAGCTGAAACTGAAGCAGAATCAGTCCAGGGTCTGATGAACTGCTAAAGCCAAATCTACCCAGATCTTCACTGGATCTCTCTGTCCTCCCTTAAAGAATGAAGTCTCTCTAATACTCCTTGGTATATGTGCTGCCAAAGCAAGCACGTACTTTTTATTCCTTGAGAAAGGAGTTCAAATTCCTTCCATCCTCCCAGGAAATTCCCCACACAAATCTACCTTTCAATCCTAGTCCCAATGCTTCGGGTTCTAAACCTCCCCAGTTTATTTTTTCCTTCATCACATCAGAATTGCAATTGATCCTTAAAATCAGCTACTCTAAGGGGGCTGGGGAGATGGCTCAGTGGAATAAGCACTTCTCTGGCAAGCGCAAGGGCCTCAGTTCAATCCCCAGTTCCACCTAAAAATAAAAAATCAGCTACTCTGTGTAGGGCATGGTGGTACACGCCTGTGACCTCAGCACTCAGGAGGCTGAGGCAGGAAGATCACTTCGAGTTGGAGGCCAGCCTGGAATACAAAGTGAGTTCAGGATCACCTGAACTACATAGTAAGACTGTCTCAAAATACCAAAATGAATAAATTAATTAAATCATCTACTCTAACCTTGGTATTTACCCATGACCAACTCACCCCCTGGAAAAAGAGACCTGTCCAAGGCACAACAAGGCCTTGGTCTTTTCTCAGTGAAAAGACCCCTTGGGTCCTCCTCAGGACAGGACATCAGACACCATGCCCTGGTCCTTGAACGCTCCCAGGTCTGGAGGAGGGACTTGGGAACCCTACCATCACCTCCCAAACTGATTCACTCATTTATCCCAGGGAGTTTGAATACTGATTTCATGTTTCCCATAGGGAAAGGGAACAGGGTAGCAAGAAGAAAGGTACGAAGAAACATTAAGCCCAACATGGTGGCACATGCCTGAGTCCCAGCATGTTGGAAAGCTGAGGCAGGAGGATAGCAAGTTTGAGCCCAGTCTGGACCACTTAGCAACTTAGTGAGATCCCGTCTCAAAATACAAAAATGTTTAGAAGGGCTAGGAATGCAGCTGAGAGCAAAGGTCCTGGAGTTTAACCCCCAGTACCACAGCAAGAAAGAGGAAATATTAAACAGTGACCTATCCCACCATCACCACATCCCACAGAACTAAGCAGACCAGCATACCCAGCCATGAGCCCAAGTCCCAGTCCAGCTGCTCTTCCCCAAGCCCCTCTTTCACATACAGCTTCACTGATACAACTCCAAAAGAGGGTTCAAGGAGACAGAGGAACCCTGGGCCCTCTGGAAACAGCTCGGAAGTAGGGTCTGAGGAAGGCCAGTGGGAAGGATTAGAGCCATTCCCAAGATCGAGTATGACCTTGGGTGTTTCTAGATTAGGGACAGCATAGGACTGGAGCACCTCCAATGTGTCTTACCCAGCATGCCCTTGTTGGAGTCGGACAAGCACATGTCCTTCTCAGCACTGGGCAGCACGAAGCCCACCACGAAGACCTCAACACCATCAGCCATTAGTGCCAGGCCAAGCACAAAGTAGAGTGTCCACTGAAAGCGGCCATGGCCGCACTCCCGTAAGATAGTTTCATACTGCTGGGCCAGTTCTTCACGTTCTTTCCGCCGCTGGGCCTCCCCCCGGCCCCCAGGAGGGCCTTCCCCATCGCTCAAGCCCCCTCTCATGCCAGCCAGGGCTGCCCCATCTGCCATCCGCTCGCCTTTGCCCCCAGACTCTGCCCGGGGGATACCCTGATATTCGCCCTCATAGATCTCATCATCCTCGTCGTGGCCCTCGGTGGCATCGCTGGACGCACCCCCTTCCTCTTCGTCCTGAGCCCCCTCCCCACGGTAATAGCCGTCCGCAGGGGCAGGGTAGTCATCCTCATCATCCTCCTCCTCAAAGCGGGAGTAGGATCTCCGGGAGTACTCATCCTGGACTCTGTCCAGGCCTTTCGCCACCTTCTTGGTCGCATGTTTTTTGACTTCCTTGGCAATGTCTTTGGCCCCACGGATGAAAGCAGCCCGGTCTCGGAAGCCCTCTTCCATGATGGGGCGTGGAACACTTCCCCAGATCTGCTGCTTCACTCTCTGTTCCTTTCAGCTTTTTGCTCAGGGTGAAATTATGTTCCAGGGTCTTTGGGCTCAAAGTAAAAGGAAATAGGACCTGGCCAGTGAGTGTCTAGGAGTGGGAAGGAAGAAGAGGATGTCTGATTTATACCCAGTTCCACACAGTGAGCAGGGACGGGGATGGGAACCAGGGGAAGGGTAGGGAAGGGGGAGCCAGGATAACACAGCCAAGGCTTCTTCTGTCTCTTCCAGGAACCTCTGGACACCTATAAAAAGTAAAAGAGACAAAAAGGAAGTTGTGAGCCCTAGGATAGTAAAGGACAAGGAAGAAATGCTCTCAACCCTCTGCCCCATCTGGACCAAGGAGAGACAGTCTCCTCGCTTCGTGCCACCAAGAGTAAAGAGCCATCTGTAGGGCATTCGAATCAGTCCCCTTTCTTTGACCTTAGAAGCCAGGCTCAATCACAGTCTCCTATAGCCCTCCTCTGTATCCCTTACCCTACGTCAAGTACAAACCCTGTTGCTTTATTCCCAACCTGCAAACAACAAAACAGAAAATACAAGAAAGCAGAATTCCCTGCTCTAGTCTGGTCTGGGGTTCCTGGGTGCAGAGCTTGAGGAGATGCATAGCTGGAAGCCAAGCTCTCTAACCAACTGCCTTCAGGTCCCTGGTGACAACTGGGGATGGGGAGGGGCTTCCACAGTTCTTTCATGAGGTTCCAAGTTTGTAGCCCTCCCAAGGACTTTCTCCCATCACAGCCTACACTGAGTCACCAGTCAGACAGACTTGGCTTTCACTTCCTGCTCAGCATTTACTTGCTAAGTAATCAAGGGTGTGTCCTAAATGGAGCTCGGTTTCCTCATAATTAAAAAGGTAAAATAAGAATGAAATGACATGATGCATATAAGTGCCTGACTATAATACCTGGTACATAAAAAGTGACAAACATTAGCTCTTACTATCGAGGTGACCGTAATAGAGAAGTGCCCTGTACTACCACACAAGGTCCTACATCAAAGTCATCTCTGGATGTTCTTTAGGGCGAACATCAAGGAGAAGGGATATCATAAAGGGATGTTATCAAGGAGAATGCTGGCCCAGTGTGACATACGTGACAGATCACCTAAACCGAAATACCAAATTCGGCCACTTTCTCACAGTTCTTAGGTTCCTTAAATTCTCTAAGCCCTCATGTCCTTAAGTTTAAACTGAAGACAATTAGCCAGGCATAGTGGTGTATATCTGTACTGCCAGCACTTGGGAGCCTGAGGCAGAAGGATTACAAGTTTGACCAGTCTGTAGAGCAGTCCTATCCCAAAATTCAAATAAAAACCCTTTTTTTATTTATCTGGAGATACTTCTTAGAATAAGCATAAAAATTTAATCTCACAGAAGATCTGCTATAAACCTTAGTCTTCTCCTTTCTGTATGCTGAAAAGTGTGAAGGAGGCCAGAAGCAGCAAGGTACAATTAGGAGGTCATACTTCCATGCTGCTGTCCAATTTCTCCCAAGAATCCTCTACGTTTCAATTAATTCCACATTATCTCCCTTTAGACAGACACGGGAAGACCCCAAAAATGGATATTTGGAACCTGAGTAAAATGGACAAGAGGGAAGATCAAAAGCTAAGAAAGTGAGGATTGGCTATAACACTTGCCCTCAGGATGTCCTGTATGGTCAGCTTGCACTGGTGAGGGTGGGAATGGAAATGACTGAGGAGGCAAAAACATTTTCTAACGTGAGGGTCTAAAGTCCATAGTTGTAACTCTTTCCTCCAGGGCTTCACCTCCTAATCCCCCTTAATCCTTTCTGCTTCTCCTCCAGAAGTCAAGGAAAAAACAGTCCACAAATACCGCATTGCGTAGGCAGCTAGAATAAAGGGGGCCTAGAGCCTCCCCCCAGGAAAGAATTCCTCCAAAGGGAGGCACTAGGATAACCTTCATTCTTCATACAAACAGAAGATGCAGGCCTAGCTTGCAGAGATCATCCCCTAAAAATACACTGCTTCCTTCTGCTCCCACTCACCCAGGGGCCTTCATTCTCTCTCTCTCTCTCTCTCTCTCTCTCTCTCTCTCTCTCTCTCTCTCACACACACACACACACACACACACACACACACACACACACATTCTGGTTGAAGAGGGTAAGTGATACTATGTGATTCAGAGAGAAGCACTGGACAGTACAGCGTTATACCCTCAGGACAAATGTAAGCAGTGGACCACAGTGACCAGAAGCAGTGACCCCTATGTCACCTTCTTTTCTTCATGGTTCAGGGCCCAAGCATCCTCCATGAAAGAAAAGGAACTGTGGAATTCTCTCAGTGCAAGGCAATCTGTGTCTCTCTCTTCTTTCTCTATCAAGATCTCCCCCTAACCCGACAGGAAGCAGATGGACCTTGTGTTTGTTGACATTGTTTACCCCTGAGAGGTACATGTGGTCCAGAGCAGGCTCCCACAGCCACAGCAGGACATGATGGCTCAACAGCCAGCTCCCCCAGGGCCAGCAAGCCCAGGAGGGAGAGAAAGAAGACACATTCTTTGCACTGGTGAGGAAGTAGTGCTATTTTTAGTCCCCAAAGCAGCACAGAGTGGCTAAGCCTGAAGAACAGAGACAACATTTAAAGAGGTGGAGGCTAACCCAGACAAAATTCAGGCTTACAAGGACCCTTTAAGGTGGCTGACCAGAAAAGTGCCCAGGATATTTTCTGCAGATGGTGGAAAGAGTGGGTGAGGGGACTCCCCAGAGAATGCTTCACTCCTGACAACTCACCCCTGGGCACTCACTCAGAATCACTCAATTTCTCACTCACCCTTCCTCAAGTGACAAGGTCATTAAGAAGCAGTCACCTGTCAAAACATTGAGGGTAGGGGCAAAGTGCTCCTCCCCATTACTGCTAGATGGCTGAGCTCAGCCACCCCCCAGGACGAACAAGGCTGTACCTCCCCTCCCCACAGTCTACTCCTGGGTTAGACAGATGGGAGCATCCACAGTTGAGGGGGGGTGGTCAGGAGAGAATGCACACAGCAAGGGAGGCAGAGGCAAGGATGCAGGAGAGACCTCCACTGCACACTCAGAGACTGCCGCCACGAGCTCTACAGCCACCCCCTAGCCCCATCTTGCCTCAGCTCCAGTGTAAAATGCAGCCCCAAGAATTTACTAAACCATTCCTCCAAGAACCTCCTCACCCTCCGTCCTGCTGGTGGACAAGTGCCCACCATTACTCAGCAACCCTTGCCCATAACTGCCTCCAGCCCCCACCACCCGTGCCCTCAACACCTGATCCATTACCATCTCTTGCCCCCCCAATGTCTCCACTCATTTCCCTCCCCTCATCCTTCACCTGCCCTCCCTTCTACTCCCTGCCCCCAAGTCCAAGCAAGCAGACTGAGGTACATGCACTCTCTGGCCACAGCCAAGGTCATTTTTCTTTCATTCATGGATGGGGGACAAGGTGAGGAGTTCGAGAGAATCAGATCCTACCTAACAGCCCCTACCAGGCCAACAGACCAATCTTTTAAGAGGGCAGTAGGAGTGGGCACTTGGTAAAGAAAAACATATATATATATATATATATATATATATATATTTCCCTTAAACACACAACTGAAATAAATGCTGGTTTCCCAAGGCATCACCAACCCCCTCACCCCTAGCGCGAGGGCGGTCACCCTCCCCTAAAGCAAAGCATCGGAGGATAAAATGGCTGCAAGGCAAAGCAAGGATGCTTCTGCCAGGGCGGGGTGGCGGGGACAGAGAGAGGGTCTTACCTGGGCTGGGTTCCCCGGGCAGGGAGTACAGGGTGAGGGCGGGGGTCCGGCCGCAGGGCTGAGGCGGCGGCGACTGCTCCGGGTACCGGGAAGCGGCACTGCAGACCTGCCCCCCCCCTCGCGCCCCGTGCTCCCGCCCCGCCCCCCCCGCCCCGCCCGCGCCGCTGAGCACCGGGAGAGACCATTGTGGGGGGGGGGGTGACAGAAAAGAGGTTGTGGGGGCTCGAGGCACAGGGAGCAATGACGAGGGTGTGAGGGGGCTGTCACGAGGATAGCTGGAAATGACACGCAGCCCTTCCCAGACCCCTCCTGGTAAAAGGGGAAACTAAGGAAAGGCAAATAGTAATTTTAGGAGGACACAAAGGGAGGTGGTAAATGAGGAAAGAAGGCCGCCCCTTCCTCAGCACCTCAGCCACCGCAGGGCAGAATCCAGGAGTTTCAGGGGCCCCTTGCTGCCCGGAAAACACCTCCCTTCTTATCCACTGCTTTCACACTCCTTTCTTGCAGCCCCCTTCCAAACTCAGAATGCTCAGACTCCAATTCCTGGCTATTCTAGAGAAAGCAAGGCTAGCAAGGTGTAGTTTCTACTGCGAACAGCCAGAGGCCGATTTCTGAATCCCTGCTCTCCGCCAGAAACAGCGGTTATTTCGGTTATTTCTCTAGAGTGCAAACAGCGCTCTCATCCTCCTCCATTCAGTTGCTGGTCTCCTGGTGAGTGTGGGAGGAGTTTTATAGGTTTGATCAACTGGACACCCCCCCTTCCATTCATTCATTTGTTCCCATGACTGAAAAGGGGTCCCCACAATCCCCTTCCCTTTCTTTCACACTCCTCTCAACACACACACACACACACACACACACCCACACACACACACCCCTTGCTCCAGAGCAGAAAAGGATTTCAATTCTTTAATCTTGCCTTTACCCCTGTAACCAATACCCACACTCAGAGAGCCAAGACCAACCACTTGCTCACGGGCAGAATCATCCCCCCCCCCCTCCTGGAAGGAGATGGAATGTCGTGGTTTGAAGGCCTCCGAGTGTATCTGCTCCAGGGAAGGCCTTAGGATGTTCTGCACAGAACATTGATCAACACACTGTTAGCTCTTGACTAAGCTCCCAGGCTCTGTGAACCTCAGGTTTCCTGCCTGGAAAAATATATATTTTTCAAGATGATGCACTAGGTCCTTTTCAGTTTAGTAGTGTATGATCTGCTTTATTAAATGTATAAGCTTCACAGTGGCAGAAAATATTACCTAAAGAAGGCTGGCAGCCTGTGTCCCAAGAGATTTCATAGTTGGTATTTGGTGTGCTAAGCTTACCACTGGACCAAAGCTGAGTTTTGGAAATACTAGTTTGTGCCAACAAAGTTCACAATTTATTGAAATACAAAGTATTAATACATAAATATTATAAACCTTTAACTGTCAGACTGAAAAATCATGTGTACAAGTCTAACACAGTTTTTCCCTAAAGCCAGATGAAAATCATCATGTCAACGCCTAAATATCATGTACACTGATATAACTGAACAGGAGGATTTGTATCTTTAATGGCATCCGGCCATCACCAATAAGGAATCATGCCAATGGGTCCAGAATACTCTTCTTGGCAACAGTTCTCTACCCTCACTTCTCTGCTATGGGCAACCTTGCCAATGCTCCTAGACTACTTACTGTGGTGGCTAAAACACTTTCTAGGATGACACTTGGAATGCTTCTGCCCACATTGGCCTCAGGGACTCTTTTTACTAGAATTTCAGTGCTCATCCCTCTTCGGGTTGAGATTCTCTTTTATTTAAACATGTTAATATTTCCAATAGTTATAGCCAAGTACTGCTGGCAGGAAGCCATTTTTTCTCTTTAATGTGATTTTTTTTTTTCTATTCTCCACTGATACATACTTGCTAAAATAAAAATATTGCACTTAGAAAAAAAAAATTTTCCCTCTTTAAACTGCAGGAAAATGTGATCATCTCCCCAGATGCCACGGCTTCATCTTCCTCACCATCTCCTCAGTCCCCGTAGCTGGGTTCACTAACAGGCATGTTCCTAGGGCTCTGCCCTGGACCCTACCGGGACCCTTTCTCCCTCGCTTACCTCATGGAACCCCGCAGCTTTTAATGTTGTCTGCTTTGATGATGCCCACATTTGACCTCTATTCTAAATCAAAATGTCCCATCTACCTACTCAACATCACCACATGGACATCTGAACACTGGGGCAGCTATAGAATTTGCAAGCCAGCAGCCCCCAGCTGAAGCAGATTCCTCCCTTTTACCTGTTTTCAAGTAGGTTGTAGGCGCTGTGACAGGGAAAAGATCTGAGATGCCCCGATCTGTGGGAGCTCCCCAGCTGGCACTGACCTGCGCCTCCAACACCAAACAGCACTGCGTGCTAAATACTCTGGTATTTATATTTCTGCCCAGGAACACCCCGCCCTCCTGAATGGAGCTTTTCCTTCATCTTTGCCTAAGAAGCCTCTGCCCGTCTCCCCTACCCTCACCCCACTGGGGATGAACTCCCAGGCCTCCACACTGAGCTACACCTCCAGCCATTTTTATGATTACTTTTTGAGACAAAGTCTTGCTTACTAAATTGGCCACATTGGGATCATATTTGCGATCCTCTAGCTTCAGCCTCCCAGAGGGCAAGGTTTACAGGTGTGAGCGACCATACCCAGCTACCCTTTGTAGTTAAATTTAGGCATCACTTTTTTCCTGAATTTTCATGCCAAATGCCTTCCTTCTGCTCTGAAAATATGGTTTCAATAACTTTTTTTTTTTTTCTGAGCCAAGGTCTCACTTTATACCCCATGCTGGCCTCAAACTTGCTATGATCCTCCTGCCTCAGCCTCCCAAGTGCTGGGAATATAAACATGTGTCACCACATCCAGCTTTTTTTTTTTTTTTTCTGGAACTGGGTTGAGCTCAGGCCCTTGCACTTGCCAGGAAAGCACTTATTCCACAGTCTTCTCCCCAGCGCCCCCATCTTATGTCATTTTTGACAGAACTTGATTATCCTTATATCCTAGGATGCCAGTGGCATAACTTTTGTAGGTACCAAAATTTAACATTAAAAATGATGCACAAGAACATGAGGGCCTGGATCTTTTCTTGCCTAGTTTGGGCAAGTTCACAACTATGCAAACCAAAGAAGGAAGTATATAACAGTTTTATGTAACAGAACAGACAATGGGCCACTGGATTTGTCTGGCTGCTAAAGTCTTGGAGCAAAGATTTAAATGTTATGGAAATCAGGTTTGGAAGAACTGAAAATGAGGACCAAAACAGAAATAAAAGTACAAACTCTTTACACAAGATATTTGGTGGTAAAGAATAGGGAAAAAAATTAACTGAAAATGAAATGTATAATCTCAATTTACTCTTATTTCCAATTATGAAAGATACTCCATGTTCTCTCCCTTCCCTCTGTGGTTATGTAATCCAGGGTGCCCTTAAACTCACTGCATAGCCCAGGTTACTTTCAAACTCAACATGATCCTCTTCCCTCAGCCTCCTGAGTGCTGAGATCACAGGTGTGCTGTGCCACATTTTGTTGTCTTTCCATCTTTAACATAAGCAAATACACATATGAGCTGACCCTCAGACAAGACAGTACTCCAGGGCTGGTGAGATGGCTCAGTGGTCTAAAGCACCTACTTAGAACAAGCTTAGCAAAGTACAGACCGCGGTTCAATCCCCCAGCACCACATGCCAGCCAGCCCCGCCCCCTGGTGGGCTGAGCTGGCCACACACACACACACAAATAAATAAAATTTTTTTTAAAAAAAGACAGTACTCTATACAATTCTTTTTAATCTTTTACTTAGTTGGTATAGGGTCTCACTAAACAGCTCGGACTCGTAGTGATCCTGTCTCAGGCTCTCCCGTGCTGGGATTACAGGCTTGCACCATCACACCAGGTTTCGGTAGCCAGGGTTCTGGGGCCAGTACAGCACGCAGTACTTGGGAGCAAACCAGGGTCCTTGTGCTTGCCAGGCAGGTGTTTAGACCACTAAGCAACCTCCCAAGCCCATACACATATTATTTTCTTCATTTAATATAACCCAGAGCTCTCTCCACACAACTAGGCAGTGACAGTGAACCTTGCAGAGCTTTCAATGCCATAGGTTCACAACCAATAGAATCTTTTTAATGCTGAGTGAACTCGTGACCTTGTGCATAATAAGCATATTCTACCACTCAGGTACAGCCCCAGCCCTTTATCATTTTTCTTACAGTTGCATAGTACTAGACTTGTGTGAATTTACTAATTCAACCAATCCCTTACTGATAGACATGTAAGTTGTTTCCAATCTGTTATTTCAAACAGTGCTGTATGAAACTTCGTGCATGTTACTTCATATTTTTGCCAGCATACCTCTAGGTACTTCGTCTTCTCAGTTTTACTATTAACATCCACGTTAAAAGCCGTAAGATAAGCTCTATATAAGAAAACAAGTACGCTAGTGTACAAGAGACCAACTATTGCAGTACATTAGAGAACAAGCCTTTAAAATGCACATGCTAGATGAGCAGTGACATACGTCCTGTAATTCCAACTGTTTGGGAGGCTGAGGCAGCAAGATCACAGGCTCAAGATCGCCCTGGGCAACTTACTAAATCCCTACCTCAATTAAAAAAAATAAAACAGGAGATGCAGCACAGTGGTAAAGTGCCCCTAGTCCCAATTCCACCATAAATAGCCCCGCACTTTCTTACCATTCCTTACAACACCTTGACATCTCTTAAAAATTATTTTAACCAAAAAGAAAACACCAAAAAGAATAAACAAAGAGTACAGTTTTATTTTCTCTGTGCTCTTGCAAAATATTTAGGGTTAACATAAAAAAGAAAAAGTTCCTGTGAAGAAATGTGCATTAAAAACAGGAATTGGGGAAGCCTGAAAGGGATTTTTGCCTCAGCCATAAGAAGCTACAGCAACTCTGATTGGTCCAAGGAATTGAAGAAAAGATACTGGGGGAACATAAAAGGAAGAAACAAAATGAGAATCTACTTAGGGAGAGGGCCCCGAAGTGGGCCACGAGGAGGAACTGGAGGCCGGGGAGTAGGTCTGGGTGGAGGCAGGGGCCCCCGCTGGTAGCCATAAGGAGGTGGTCGTGGAGGCCCAGTGTACCCATGAGGGGGCATCAGTGGAGGAGGTCCACGCATTCCATGAGGTGGCATAGGACCTGGGTGACCTGCATGAGGAGAAAGAAAAGTTAGTACAAGTGAGAATCAGGAGACAGCTGACAATGGAAGAGATGATAGGGAACAGATACAAAAAGTGAAAGAAACAGCACAGGACCCAGAGTGTGCAAAGAAAGCTATGAGGCTCCATCTGACACAAGGATGAAGCTGAGTCTACTCACCCATGGGAGATCCAAATGGAGGCCCCCGGGGGGGCATGCCCATGGGAGGAGGTCCAGGGTGAGGCATTCCAGGTGGTGGCCGGGGTGGTGGCTGTCCCCCTGAACCTGGAGGCCCAGCATGAGGATGTCCTAAGCCATGGGGGCCATGGTGGGCCAGCTGCATCTGAGACATCCCTATAAAAATAAAACAGACACAAAAAAGAAGAGGAACAAAAAGACATAGACAATAAAGGAAAAAATGAAAACAAAAAAGTGACCATTAGCAAAGGATACTAAAAATAAGGTTGGTCAAAAGTGCCATATTCTTGACCACCATACCCCAACAAACCAAGCAGATAAGAAGCCAACTCTCCACCCACCTCACTTGGTCCTCTGATTTAGGCAATGTAACAGTGACACAAGAGCACGCTGCCAAGTCCAGGGTTGCTGTTACAGGGCTAGGAAAAGTAGACCACCACCCCCCCCCGCAGACTGGGATGTACAAGTCCCAGGTGTGTCAAGCATCACACTATGTTCCAGAAAATACCCGCAATACATGGTCATGCTTATGGTAACAAGCAAGGGGCCAGAGCAGAAGTTCTGACTGTTACCATTGTTTGTTTGGATTTTACTATATAAACAGAAGGAACCAAAAGAAGAATTTCAAAAAGTGTGCGAACATTTATCTTAAAAAACTATTCTGCTGAGGTAAATAGTGTCAAAATGAAAGATTACTAGAATAAATCAGGTGTGCAATAATGAGAAAACAAGCTTCAATGAAGAGATTCGAAAGGGGGAGGTATCAGGGTGGAACGATGGGAAATGACAAATTCCCAAACCTAAGTATTGTGCACCTGAAGTCAAAGACTATTAGAGGAACAGGTTTGAAAGGAAAATTACAGGCTGGGGAGATAGCTCAGTAGAATAAGCACTTGCCTGGTGAGTGCAAGGTCCTAAGTTCAAACCCCAGTACCAAAAAAAGACAAAAAAGGAAAATTAAAGCAACAAGATTGTAAGTCTGACTTGTTAATAACCGTGGGCTAGAAGAGAGGCTGAAATAGGAGGATCACAAGTTCTAGTCCACTTTGGGCAACTTGGTGAGACTGTCTCAATAAATAAATACAAGGAAGAATGTATGTAATGTGTTAGTTATTGAAACTGTCCTACCAATTTGGTTTGAAACTGTCTCACTGCCATTTCTCAATAAAATTATGGGAAAAAAATAAACAAAGAAAAGGTATTCTATACTATACATCTTAGTTTTGGAATACATTATGAAATAAACATGTGTATACATTATTCTCAAATTATGTAATTATTTTAAAGAAAATTCATTTAAATCACATTCCCATTGTCAAATGATAAATTCTCTTCTAATTCTAGAGAAGTATATGAGAAAACTAAGAAGTATTATTGGTAAATATCATTTTTTGTTTTATTTTCTAGATATTTCTTTAAAATAGGTATTTAATTGATAGATCTTCATTTGGCCTGTGATCTGCTTCATGATTTTGATTTTTTTTCTTTTTTGTATTAATGTTTGGGTTTGGATTTTGGTTATGTAGCTTTTACTGCTTTTAATGTGAAAATATATGCTCTTGTAATTAGCATTTGTTTGTTGTCCACACTGCTCGTGGTCTGAAATTTCACACTTCTTATTCGTTAAACCCTATGAGGAGGTTTCAGACCACAGTTCTTGATCCTTCGTTTTATTTTTTAATTCAATGAGACCTTTTGATGTGTGTATGTGATCTTCATGACAATCTCTACAGCTTTCTAGGTCATCAATTATATGAAAATTATGAATGTAATACACTTTTATTTCATATAAAATACAAAATAAATAAAATTGAAAAATAAAATACATACATACATACATGTACACACATATATACAACTCGCCATGGACTACTGAAGGAGATCCAGGACACATCAACATCTATATAATTAAAACTGGGCCGACCTGATAGCTCAGCGGACTAAAGTGCCTGTTTAGGCAGAGTGCAGCAGCCAGGGCTTGGTCCCTGCGAGGCCAGTCCCACCCCACCCCTAGTGCGCACTGAGACAGCGATTAAGACTGGGTGGGGTAGCCCAGGCCTGTAATCTCAGCGTTTGGGAGGCTGAAAATAGCAGAATCACTAAGAGTTAGATGTATATAGTGAGACCCTGTAGTTCCTATACTAAATGCAAAAAAAAAAAAAAAAACCCTAAAACTGAATACACTAAAGAGAACCAAGCAAAAAAATCTAGGCACAAGCTGGAAAAAATATATCAAAGGTATTGCCTAGCAAGCACAAGGGCCTGAGTTCAATCCCAGTTCCGCAA